CCCCCCCCCCCCCCCTCCGTCCCCCGCAGTATTGACGCTTGCGTGACTTTGCGCGCTTGCCGCTCACTCAGCCGAAGTCTTGGGCAATTGATTGAACGAACGGCGTCCTCCATCCCCGCGCGAGAATCGTCTCGTGTAAGCACCATCTTGCACTTAGATGTAGCAGCTCCCCCCCCCCAGAGACATAGAATCTTGCATGACAGCACGTACACCTGCTCCCTAGCTGTAGCCATTGGAAAGCCATCTGCACAAGCACAACACGCTCCACTCAAGAAGCTGACCCCCCCGCTCTGCGCACGTGATGCACGCCTCCAGCCGATTGGAGACCGACCTGAACACGGGGACATGCCATTTGCTCGAGCTCATGGCCTTCAAGAGCACAGCGACGCGCTCGCACCAGCAGGTACCAAAACATACCGACCATGACGTCAGTCATGACGTCAGCGCTGGATCCAAACAAATTGATTTCTGAAAATAGAAAAAAACAATTTGCCTTAAGTTCATCCGAGGGGCTCCTCCCTTTTCTCGGAGAAGTAAACATGCTCCTGTGTAGGCCCCTGCTTGCCTGTAGCTCTATTGTCAGGTCGGTTGGAGTGTTGGTATTTTGGTCTTCTACATTGGCCGATTAGCGCGCACGCAGGAAGGGCGTCGAACCAACCGTTGTGTGGAATCAGCTATTCTCATGAATTCTCCCTGTGCCACCAGTCGTTTAACTTTTCCACTTCCAGGACTGTATTTTCTACTCTTTGGACTAGTATTTCAACTGTGCGTTGTAGTATGGAACAAATGAATGCCCGTTCAGCTTGAACAATGAAATTTCCACGCGATGTCCATAGCAGTGCAAGCTTTCGATCTGTTTTAACGTCATTTTCTTTTAAGTGTTTTGGTGTTGTGTTTTGTTGCAGGTTGTGAGCGAATTTGAGGAAATGGGCGGAACGACTTCTACACACGGCTCGCGAGACCAGATGCTGTACTGCGTGGTGAGTTTTTTTTTTTTTCTTTTTTCGCTATTCGTTGTTGTTGCTGCTGTTGCAAACGCGGGTCCGCGCTTGAGAGTTGAAGGAACGGAATGTTGGTGTTTTCGTGGCACATGAGATTATAAGACGTTGTGGACGGTCATGACCTCGACGAATTTTCTATGCCGACTCGCCTGTAAAGCTTGTCTTCTTTGTCGCTGTTGTTGGTACGGTGGCGATTGTGTGGTGCGGTGTTTCTGCTGCTGCTGTTGCTGCCGTTGTCTCTGCTGCTGCTGCTGTTGCTGCTGTTGTCTCTGCTGCTCCTGTTGCTGCTGTTGCTGCTGTTGCTGCTGTTGTCCCTGCTGCTGCTGCTGTTGGTGGTGTTTTTCTGCTTGTTGCTGTTTCTTTTGTGGTCTTGTGTGTTAAGAAATGAATGAACGAACGTAAAATCGGGATGATATTGCTGCTGAATACAGGACGTACTGCGGGACAACCTGGAGAGGGCCGTTGAGCTGCTGGCGGACACGCTCATCAACCCTAGGGTTACGCCGGAGGAGGTGGAGGAACAAAAGGCGGTGAGATTTATTTATAGTGAGATTTGGTGAGACTTCGTAAAGATTTAGTGAGATTTCAAGTGAGATTTAGTGAGGTTTTGTTGGATTTCATGTGATCCATTCGGCAAACACCTCTGGGCCGGTAGGATCATTGTTCGTAGGTCTCCAGATCTTGACTGGTTGCATGGTCGTATTTACCCCTACGAAGACACCTATACGCTGGTTTCCACATCTAGTGAAAGGAAATATTTCTAGTGAGATTCACAGAAGCAAAGTACATACCACGTTTGCCAGTACTCAAGGGCAGTGGGCAGTTGGATGTCATAACCAGCGCAGCCAGAGGAAGAAACGAAAAACTGTGAAACCGCAGGTAGTGTCCGCTAGCGTCATTGATTAATTGCTTTTTTGTCCTGGACTCTTGTCGTTGATGGAGATGAAGTCGTTGCTGTCGTGGCTCCGATACGTGAGGGTGGTGTGAACGAAGGCCGTGGACCCTCTTTACCGGAGCCCCCTCTTATACCGGATGAAGAGAGTACTCAACTACGCTATATATAGAGGGTCGAGTCCGTGACAAACAATTCCGACCCTCCTATATCGGAGCCCCCTCTTTTTCAAGGTACCTTCTTGTAGCGGAGCCACGACTGTATGTCTAAAACAACATTAACAAAGACGGCGACGACGGCAGGTGATCGGCTTCCAACTGGAGGACACGATGCCCGAGGTGACAATGCGAGAGTCCCTCATGACGGCAGCGTTTAAAGGCCAGCCTCTCGGGCGCCCGTACTGGTGCCCAAAATCGGCGCTCCCGAAGCTCGAGGCCAACATGGTCCGGAGCTTCCGAAAGAGGTTAGCTACCTGCTGATGTACTGTGTGGGCGCTTAACCTTAACGTTATGCATTCTTGCTCTTTTTGATGTATGGTGCCAGAAACGTGCTGGGCGTCCGCAAAAGGTATTTATGTATTGATTTGCTGTGGCACGCGACCTTGATGCCGTGCGTTATTCAAGAGAGGTGTCAGGTGCCAGCATTATGCGGGACTTCCGAAAGAGCCACGTCTATTGATGCGTTGATGTGTTGTGTCACGTGGCGCTGACGTTGTCGATTATTGCCCTGAAGAGGTGTCAGGTGCCAGCATCGTGCGGGGCTTCCGAAAAGAGAGCATGTACTGTGTGTTTGATGTGGTGTGGGCACGTGGCCTTGGCGGTTTTCGACGTGGGTACTCGTGATCACTACCAGTTTGCTGGACAGCAACCCCAAGGCACAATGCCGTACGCCTCTGCTCTGTGTTGGCGCTGGTGTTGGTGACGAAAAAGGGTCCCTACTGCTGCCCCGCTGTGGTAACGTTGTATATTGTTTTTATTTTAGATGCCAGGTGTTCCAGCATCGCGTGCGGGGCTTCAGTTGTGTGAGGTAACGCCTTGGAAGTTAGTTTCGTGAGTGACCAGAATCACGGTTCACTCTCCCTACCCGATAGAGCAAAGTAGCTCACGAAATTCGGATCACCCCTGGTGCGACCTAGGTTTCGAGTACAGTCGTCCCCGCCTTTTGTGACACCCATGTTTTTTTTCTGAGAATTTTTCCTCGGTAGCCTCAGATCCCCAACCCCTATTTTTGTCACATTCTGCGGGGCCCCGCGCTTCTGCAACAAGGAAGAAAATGTTATCCTTGAAGCGGGGAGTGTCCTTATGAAAAGGTGTGGGTGACTGCTGTACAAGAGAGACATGACAACACACACAGCACAATGTTCCAGGTCCATCATTCGGTGACCTCTCGTCAAGGTCTGGACGTAAAATCTCGTTTTTGGTTCAAGTTGTGGTCATTGTTTGCATGCCAACAAAACAAGACAGAAGACGACCCCCAACATGTCACTCTTTCACCACCTCTGCGTGTGTTTACAACCACTGCGTGTGTTCGCAACCATTCGCAGGCATTTCACTCCGGGGAACATGGTGCTCGCGGGGGCGGGGGTAGACCACGACGAGCTCGTTCGATTGGGGAACAAGTACTTCGGAGGACTCGAGGCCGTGGAGGGTGGCAGCGGTGATGGCGTTGACGCTGCCGGACCCGCGGAGTCGAGCTACGTCGGGGGAGAATCGCGCAACGTCGTTGCCAAGCACAAGGTACAGACGAGGAATTGTTGGGCTGCGTTGTTGTGGCTTGGGGAAAGTCGCGCAGTGTCTTGGCACAGAAAAGGTATAGGCGAGGAATTGTTACAGTAGATGGCGTTGTTGTGGCTTGGGGGAGAGTCGCGCCATGTCGTTAGCACGCGTAAGGTATAGGCGAGGAAATAGTGCGTTGGCTCGGAAAGGGTACAGGTAAGGAACGAGCACGACGCTGTTGTTGTGGCTTGGAGGGGAGTCCCAGGGTGTCTTGGCACGGATAAAAGGTACACACGAGGAATTTTTACAAGGCGCTGTTGTGGCTGGGGCGAGAGTCAAGAAGTGCTGGGGGATGTATTCTCCCACCACGAACGAAACACAAGAAGATAGTCAAATCCTGCAGCCAGCACGCGACCACGACTATTGCCACCCAGTCGGAAGAGATTGACGACAGCAACAGCAACAGCAAGGGTGACGACTGCGATCAGTACCAAGTGAACTACCGATAGATGCCCTCCGTTCCCTTTTAAACCGCCGCCCTTCTTGATGCCTCCCCCTCCGCCGCCCTCGTCTTGCAGGACAAGTTAACCCGTGTTTCAGTAGCCTTCAAGGTTGGCGGCTGGCACGACGATCTCCTCGTACCCACCTGCGTGCTTCAGGTACGGTACCCACTTTCGCGGCCATTCAGATTGATCGATATACCCTCGTTGTTGAGGCTATAAGCAGACCGGACAGGATGGGTTGCCGGCGTGCAGAAGTATCGAGATGAACCCGTACGATCGTGTGTACCATACAACACAACGGGTTCGTTTTTGTTTTCTTTTGTCCTGTGATCGTGCGTGCCACGCAAACACCGGGTTCGTTCTTTTTTTATTCCGTAATCGTGTGTACCATACAACACAACGGATAATTATTTTCAATGTTGTTCCGTATGACGAAGGAAAGAACGCCAACATGCGCTTTGTTGGGGGGCCCGTGACTGACAGGTTTTGCTTGGCGGTGGGGACTCATTTTCCGCGGGCGGGCCGGGCAAGGGCATGTACTCGAGGCTGTACCGAGAAGTGCTCAACAGGTACAGTGAGCACCCGCACTTGACAACCTCTAGTTTTGCCCCGAGGCTCTCAGTTGTAGGGTTAGGCTTCCAATGGCCCTATTACGTGAGTTCTAAGTAGGGGTTCCTAACCGAGCTCGCAGTTTTCGGTGCTCAATTTCTTAGATTTTAGAGTGTTATACGAGGCTATATGTACTACTGTTAGTACCGTAGGCATACGACCGGTGGGAAAATGTCAACATTGCTGGCGCTGGTGGTAACGCTGGTGGTAGCGCTGTCGCTGCTTGTGGTAGGAGCAGCAGCCGGTGTCGTCTTCGTTGCTGAAGTTTGAGCCGAATCGCTGTCAATTGATTTTCTTGCGTTTGGTGTCGGGGGAACCTGCTTCTGTGGAGATAGATCCCCTTCATAAAGGGTACACATAACCACCTCCCCACAGTAGAAAACATTCATACGAACACAGAGAGCCTCCCCGTTCGAGATATATTATCACAGTCGAAAGGGATGGGTTGAAGTCTTCACAGTGAACGGGAAGAAAACCGGCTGGATACTGGGCTTATTTTGAGTGTGTCCAAGCCTTTACATTGTGGAAGACGATTCCCTCGTTTCACAATTGATTCACCCCCATTTGGTTACGTTTTGGAGTCTGTAGACTTGCTTGCCAGGGAAGGCAATCCACATCCATCTGGACTCCATCCCCAAGGAAGGGCTGATCCACAGGTAGGTCGTGTTTGCTTGCCTGCTACACGCCTGTTGTTGCGCCGCGCCAGATTCTACTGGGCCGAGGCAGCGGAGGCGTTTTCCATGATCCACGACGAGACCGGGCTACTCGGGATAGCCGGCGCCGCCGCCGACAAGCTGAGGGCCGGCCAGCTGATGCACGTCTTCTGCGAGCACTTCGCGACCCTGGCCACGGTGCCGGTGAGGAGAGGTCTTTGCGATTTATTTGCATAGGTGACGCAAGATAACACACCCCTGGACCGGTTTGCAAAGCTCGACTTACACCCCCTGGACCGATTTTCGAAGCTCGATTTCTCGGCGGGAAAAGCGGTGACGATGCCGAAAAATGGTGGCGTTGGAACTGTCTCGTCGAGAGCTTTCCGAAGACGACTACTTTAATCCCGGCATCCTCTTCGTCGTCAAGTAATCGAGCTTTGCGAATCGGTCCAGGGGGTAGCATATCTTATGGGACATGCGGTACGCCTTGACGAAGAGGATGCGTGAGTCAAACGATAGGCTTCCGGGAAGCTCTCGACGAGGCGGCTTCAACGTTCGGTGCTGCCATTCATTTCTGTTGCGGAGAAGTCGAGTCGTGAAACCGGCTCAGGGGGAGTGGGATCTTGTGTCATCTACGGTTCTTTTGTTTTGCGTCAGCAGTCGAATAAATTATTTTCAGCAGTGAAATAATTTATTCCTAGACGTCGTTTTCTCTACGTCGCGGTATGTTTGGATTAGTCATCCCGGACCGACAAGAAGGCCAAGGCGGATTTTTTTTTTCGCCCCCTCCTCCTCTTTCGCACCACCACCC